AAATATCTCCCAAATAAAAGTTGTCATATTTCATGTTTTAAATCTGTCTTATGTATACAAGCTATTAAATCACTCAAAAAGACATACATCATAATACTACTTAACATATTTTTATCTTATGTCCAGTATGTTAGACCACTCTCCATTAAACCATATTAAGCACTTCATTCAAAACACTCTGATCTGGGATCTAACGAAAATAAAGTAACACTCTTCTTTAAAGAAATAATGCTATAGTTTACATTAACATTAAATTTAAACTATTTCAGTACATTTTTTTTCATATTCCCAAAATATAGGACACAGCAAATGATATTTAAAACTTTCAAACATAGTCAGAGAGTATCATTGAATTACTGTAGCATCAAATTTCTTTCATGTCTCTCATCTTGTCCTCCAATAATAACCTTGAAATCCCAACTGTATCTTGAGCCATTAAATATTACTAGGTTCCGTCTGCAAACTCTGTGAAAATGTACAACAGCATGTCAAACATACATAAATATTTCATCTGTTCATAAATCTATCCTCTATCCCTAACATACAATAAAGCATTGCTTTAAATTATTCATCAGAATATATATTAAGGTAACAAAAAATACACAATAACTTGTAACTATCATGTTTTGCTCTAGGATTGGTTTCCAGTCCGATAATTTGATAATTGTTTTGGTAATTTATGATAAACAATAGTGAAAACCAATTTTTATAGATTTTCAAAAAAATAGACATAAATCTTAAGATTAGACAGTAGCAATTATTTGACACACAAAACTGGTATCTCTATTGAAAACCAATTCTTAAAAATGTTCGAACAGTTATAATTATACAATTTTGTAAAATTTATGACCTCAATTTTTAGAAAGCATTATCACCTAAAAGTGACTGTATTTAAACTTAATAATACAGAATGTCCAAATTAAGGAACAGTATTACAAGTATTTCTGCATACTTTAGAAAAAGTACTCTTAGTATATTAAGTCACTATAATAGCGATTGAAATAATTTTGTTTTATTTATGCTATGGATCAACATGTAACTATTGAAACTAACATTACAATGTATGTAAATATATAATAAGAAATCATAAATATATTGAAAAGTAAAATTTTTAATGAAAAAGAAATAAATGTAAGAAAATGTATGTGCCTTACCTTTCTTGTATTTCTGCAACCACATTTCCTTGACATTGCCTTTTAACATTCCAGTGAGAAATTCATAGAAACTCATTATCTCCTAACCCATGTCAACAAAGTCAGTTGGCACTTTAAAATTTATTAAACTGGCAGCATAAAATCAAACATTTTCCTCTATAATGACTACAATAGAATGCAACAGAAGTGAAATATTTCTAAAATAAATTAAGCAAACATGATTTCTCCAGATTCTGAAATCCTTTTTATATTAAAGTTAAATAAAACCAGTACAAAGGTATGAAGGAAGAATTGTTGCAGTTTGCCACTTCATAAAAACTTCATTTAGAAGCTCTTCCTGCAGCGATTTTCATCAAAATTGTGTAAATTTGCTCTTTATGACCAGTGATCAAGGAAATAATATTACAATACCTCTACTATACAATGAACAGACTGTTTGGGGTTATATTGTAAATTGTAGATCACGTCTATTATTATTATAAGCTATTATTAAATATTACAGAAATTTAACTACAATGTATATCAAATTTGATCAGGGGCTGTTTGGTATTGATGCTTTACATTAAAGGTCAATGTATATGATTATGTATATTTATTTGAAGTTTGTTTGACATAAATATCTCAATTAATAACAGGGGAGTAAATTGCACTAAACAAAGTTACAAGTCAATATAGGCTGTACTAACATCATATCTTTGTTATTGTAAATTATAATGTAATGAATTAGATTTCATTAAATAATAAATGTATCATTTACACTTATTATCAATTTCCTAATCTTACACACCAAAACATTATAGTACAATGTTAATAAGGACTGCCATTGCAGCACATAAGTTAGTTATAAAGAGCTGAAAGTAATCAGCATCAAAATAAACTACCAATACTTGAATGGCATCACTCAAATTAGGATATCATCAAAACCAAATGTAAACTAGAAAAGTCAAATGACACATATGCCCCCCCCCCCTTTTCTAGGCCTTGACTCACATTATTGACCTTCTTAGTTATAACCAATCAATATGTGAAATATAAAGACCTTGATCTTTTAAGTAGTGACCCCATTATGACTAATAAATATGTGAAATTTGAAGACTTAAAAATAGTTTGCAAGATAATAAGCAGAAACCATATTAAGATTTAAGGCCCCTGTGACCTTGACCTTTGAACCAGTGATCCCAAAATCAATAGGGGTCATCTACTACATATGGCTATTCAATATGTGAAATATGAAGACTTTGTGATAATTAGTTTAAATGATAATGATAGAAAACTATTCTGACATTAAAGGTCCTTTTGACCTTGACCTTTGACGTAGTGATCCCAATATCAATAGGGGACATCTACTAGTTATGATTTATCAAAATGTGAAATATGAAGACTTTGTGATAAATAGTTTTCAAGATAATGAGCGGAAACCATTCTGACATTTAGTGCCTCTGTGACCTTGACCTTTGACCTAGTGACCACAATATCAATAGGGGTCATCTACTAGTTATAACCAATTACTATGTGAAATATGAAGACTTTGTGATGAATAGTTTTCAAGATAATCAGCAGAAACCATTCTGGCATTTAAGGCCCCTGAGACCTTGACCTTTACCCTAGTAACCAAAAAATTATTAGGGGTCATCTACTAGTTATGATCATTCACTATGTGAAATATGAAAACTTTGTTATTAATAGTTTTCAAGATAATCAGCAGAAACCAATTGTGGTCTACCGACCAACTGACAGACTGACCAACATTAGCAAAACAATATACCCCCTCTTCTTCAAAGGGGGGCATAAAAATACAAGGTCTGTGAAGCAATTACTATAACAATTAAAAAATACCTGTTGACTGTTGTAATCTTACTAAATAATTTATAGCATCAATTACATGTACATTGTATATCATGTTACTATAGACTCTTGTAATGGCTTTTTTAAGTAATACTGTAATATCTTTTACAAACAATTCTTTTCAAAGCATCACATATTCTCAGACATGATGCAAATTAACAAAAACTTTGCTTATTAACACAGCATCTTTCTGAAATACAAAATCAAGCCACTGAAATAATCCTAACAAAAACAGCTAATCCATTTTAGTATAAGTTAATATGCTTTTAAAAGTTTTCCAAACAAAATTTCAATTAAAATCTGTTGTCAATAATGCATCCATGTGCAACATTCGTTTGGTGTGCTTAGAGCATGTGCATGCAAATGCTACTTCAAAAGATACAATGTAATACAGTCTAACTTGCCCATGCGACCATGTGTATTAAGCGACTTTTGTCTTAAACGACCACTTGCCCCCGATCATTTTCTCTCTATATCTTTAATGTATTAAGCGACTTTTGCTCAACGCAACCAGGGACCGCTAATTAGTCACCTAATTGAGATAAAGCTTTTCATTAAACGACCACTTAAATTTTACCTGTTAGAGAATGCCGCCTTGTGATGTCACAAGTGTCAACAATCAAAACACAACAACTAAACGTGTGAAAAACTCTATTTCCCAAACCGTTTTAGCGTATGCAAATGAAGTTAAGTATACGCGTGACGTGTATTATCCAATAATATCGGATAAACAATGCAACGCTCCGCCCCTACTGAGATGGTGTATACGCTTCGCTTGTTGACATTTAGACTGCATTGAATTGACCTTGAACTTGATCAGCAATTAAATTTATCGTAACAATTAGATGTAGTTTGTTTATTTCAAATGAAAAAATGCATAACAGAAAACATCTTCACTATAGGGTTTTCATGTTGCAGACAAGGAAAAACAACGGAGAAGTTAACTTATTCTGGAAAAAATGTCAAACATGTACGTAATGGATCAAAACTGTTTTGCACCCCTTTTGTCAATAAATTTCAGAAAGTTATTTTTTACATTTGCATCGATTTAGATTATCGGAGCGTACTAATTATTCAACATTTATATAAAAATGAAGTTGAAAAACATTCCTACCGCATAAGAAAGATGTCATTTATAACTTTTGACTTTTATATCATGCTGACTGTCTTAAGAGACCATTTCATTAAGCGACCGTTTTGGGTGTTTCCCTTGCGCGGTCGCTTATTATACACGTTTGACTGTACTATGTAAAATTAAAAAACATACAAAAAATAAGTATTCTCTCAATACTTTCATTTTTATGATATAATTTTTTTATATGAAAAAAAAGGCTGAATATTGGCCTTTTCTAAATTCAAATGGCATGTGGGTTGTAGCAAAAGATGTATCTGATCTGATTGCAGATAAATTTCTGCCTAACAAATGTGTTTATATATTATATACATGTTTAAGTTATTAAGCATGCCCTGCAGTCACAAGTGCTTTCATTTTTTTTTTAAATGTTAAGGAACTGTTAACAGTAAAACTGTTATAACTGTTTGATTCACTTTTTCTTGTGGTTAAATTATAAACCTGAAACAAATCTTGAATACATTTGGTTATAACAAAACTTAACCTTCAAAATAAAATCTTAACCGTAACAGTAGATATTTGTTAAAAAGGCCTTTAATTTGCTAAATGTATGATTTGAATTTTAAATTAATGTTCATAGAGCAGACCTTGAAATCTTATAAATGTGTGAAATAAACACAGTAGATCAATAACAAATGTATGATCATATCAGAAAATGACTTCAAACTTCTGATAAAAATGTACGACCTGAGAAAATGTATGACGTTGTTAGAAGAAAATAAATGACTTTGTGACGCAATCATTCATTTTTTAACTTACAATTATCTTAAAAAGTACAATCAATTAGTCAAATAGCTTTAAAAAACATTTAATTTATGTGTTCTTTCAGCATTTAGAAGAGATAATCTTCATCGTGATTTTTCACTTACCGCTGTGGTTTTCCTTGACGTCCTGTTATTTCTAATGAACCTCTCGTTTCCGGCTCCCAAATTTCAAATCGAGTTGGTCTTTCAGATAAACAGCTATAACGATCTCTTCTGACAAAGTCATCAATGTCTGTATGTACAGCTTCAGACATACTTCTTAAACTGTCAACTCTCATACCAACATCTTTTCTACCAGATAAATTAAGATCTACAGGTTTCTCTACCTTATTTCCTTTCATTTCCAACTCCAGTAAACGTTCATGTTTCTTTGAGATGTGGTCTATAAGTTCTTTTACTGTTGGAATTCTGTTGGGACGTCCTCTACGTACCATTCTAACTCTAACACCTTGATCATTATACAACCTTTCAAGAATCTGACTGCTGCTGGGAATATGTACCATACTACTTCCATGAGAATATCTTCGTGGTAAAGTCAACTCCGGCATTTCTTTACTATCTGACATTTCATCAAAACCCATTAATTCAATTGCCTTTATTTTGTCTGAATATTCCCTTCTTTTCATATCTAATTGGCATAAACATGCAGGTAAAAATAGTGCATCAATACTTTCCAATTCCTTTAAACTTGTCTAACTGTAATGTTTACTTTTCAAACACACACTGGTAAAATATTCCTTTGAAACAAGGTGCATCAATATAACAAGGTTTTATTGAAATACTTCATGGTTCAAATTTCTATTCTGACAATACGTTTAAACACGGAAATGATCTGGGTCCCCCTGGGACCATGAAATCAATACGTATATCACCAATCTAGAATCTTGTGATCTGAACACTTTCACACTGAACACTGTACAAGAGTTCATCTAAAATATCAACGAAAATCACTTTCCTTCTTCATGAATACTTAAAATCCAATCATTAAAAACTTATTAACTATAAACCAAAGTTTGAAAAACCATCTACACACAACAGCAAATTTCTGATCAATGAAAACGTAATTAAATTCAATAAAATGTAACTTGTTCAATTTAAAAATGTACATCTGTGAAAAGAGTTTCTATAAGTGAAATAATCTAGATATTGATCTGATTGTGAAAATATTTAAACACACTCGATGATTTTTATTAAGAATCACGACCACATACTGTCAAAGATAGCTCCACGCGTCCAGATATTAATTCAAAAGTCATCTGTACGGTGGAAGAAACGAGTCAATCAAGTGCCAGAATCTAATATCCCCGATTTAATATATCTACCATGATCATAATCTCTTCTTCATAATCAAAGATAATCTGTTGTTTAAAATCTCGTATAAACGGCTGATTTCTGTGAGATAAGTCAACTTGATTATGCAAATGTCATGTCATATGTATAACATTATAATACTTGATGTTCAATCCTTAATTCATATTTCCAAATAGAGTCAATTTGAAAAGTTTAAATCTCGTCTAAATATTTTCTCAATATTGTTAAGTAAACATAGACAAATTATGGTAGGGTTTTCCATAGTTTACCTAAGCACTTAAACTGTTTAATGATTTCAATAGAACACTAAAATTAAAAGTGCTCCTTCATCAACAATACAACTTTATTATATATTCCTATGATATAATAACACAAATTAAAAGAATTTTACTCCAAAGGTGTTTAAAAATGTTAAAACCAAATTTAATACAAAAAGTCCACATTTATTGTTTATTTAATATTATAAGAAAAAATGTTGCAATCAATACATTACACTGTTTGTCCTTTTGCACTTTCAAGTCATGACTTCTTAAGTAAATCCAAAATTGGGGGTTTAACCTTCTTCTTTTATAATTTAATTCTTACTTAAGCTACTCTTTATAATCAAATTCGTAATAAAGTGCCATTAGCTAGGTATGTCTTGGCGCTTCATACCAGAACATTTTCCGTTCAATTATTCGTTTCTAATGTGAGATTTAATCTTATGTAACATTTACACAAACTTTACTTAAATGGATATTGCGTCCGTCTTTATAGAAACTTGACTTTGTGATCTTGTATGGAAACACTTTTACCGTGTTGGTTTTCACAACTTAATAAAACCTGTTCAATGAAATCAATCATTGTCCATTCAAGATGCAGCAATAAAATCACTTGTGGAAATGATTTACTGTTTACTATAATATAACATAAACCTTAAGTACTGAATACTGATGGTAAATCAACCTTTTCAACCAATACAGAGTAAAATCAAATAATCAATGACCAATTTTCAAATTCAACAATATATATGATAAACTTTTAGGTCAGTTTGGATGAAAATTTAAGGTTTCTTACAAGAGGACAAGTGACTAGTAATGTCACATGCTATCCCCAGGTATCGACAGTGATTTTATCATTGTTCAATCATAAAATGTTTAAACAACAAATATTAACCTTTAAAATCATTATTCTACTAAATGTGTACAATCAACATACACTGTTTTGAATTTGGATAAATCCATTGTTAACTGAAGAGTATTTTGAACTTGAAAATATCTTAAATATATTGTTAATTTAAGAGTGTTTTCAATTTGGAAACCTCTTTATCAAATTTAAGAGCATTTTCAAATTTGGAAAAATGGATTGTTAATTTAAAAGTGTTTTGAATTTGGAAATATCATTTTAAATCTGGAAAAGAAAATATTAATTTAAGAGTGTTTCAATATTGGAATTATTCATTAATAATTTAAGAGATTTTGATATAAATTTTTCAAAAGTAAGAAGCCAAGTATAGGATCTGGTGAGACGGCATGAATGTGGCATAGACCTGACAATTTGACCATGCATGTATCAGATATTTGGCAAGAATTATTCTCTTAAATAAGAGAACTGAAACAAAACCTATGCTAAGAAGATTGAGTGAAACAAAAACAAGATCAATGGGTTGCTGACGAGGGTTACCATAAAATATTCCGTGACTAAAGTGATTAGTATAATCAATTGACTACTAAATACTTTAACAATGATTAATTCACACTACAATAAAAAGTTTTTTACAACACATCATAGACTCTTTAACATCATAGCGTAATTAATATATTCATATATGGCAGTCAATAGTAACTGGTATTAAAAAAGTCATTGAGAATCTTTCTCTAAGGTAAGGTAATACATCAGGGCCAAAAAACCCTTCTTTGTAGAGGCCGAATATAGGCTGCTTCCCCAACCAAACTAGCCTCTTTTTTCCTCCAGTTTGGTCCTAAAAATTCCCCAGTCTTTTGAAATTTCCCATAGAATTTGGAACAAAATTAAATGATGGTGTTGAATTAAGATCTTTTACTGCCTTATTAGTATTTCCCAGTGCTTTTTGCTTTTCTATTTTGAAGAACTTGTTTAAATTTTGTGTTAAATATGACACCCCCTTTTTCCAAAGCATGCCAAAATCACGCATATTTTCCCCAAGAAAAAGGCTGAGGCCCCTTCCCCAAAAATGGTGTTTTGGCCCTGGGTATTAAGTCAAAACATTACTGTTCATATGGCAACTATAATTCAGCTTATAATTTCTGATAGAAGATTTAGAGCCAATCTGCCCAGTTAATGGCCCATAACATGCACTATTTCAGGTACAAGAGAACAGATCGGAAGTTACACAGCTGACCTTTAAATGTGTTGCTGCCCCTAAAGTGATTCAAACCCGTTTCAATAAGAGGTAAGTGATCTTGAAGTCTGAGCACCTCCACATCAGAGCTACCAAAGCCTATTCCCTGACTAGAAATCCACAAGCAAAGTACCCAGTAACAATAACAGATGGCCTGCACAGTACACAAACCTTCCTTTAAGATAATTTTAAGAGTTTAACATACAAAAACAAATCATCTACTGTTTAAATTGATTGAACCTCAATGGAAAAGATAAAATAAGAGCTCTAAGTAAATAAACTTTCAATTTTGAAGTTGTTTTAGTCAGGCAATGTAGAGCTGTATATTGTTCTTAATGTGATAAATTGCTATCTTGTCATTTGAACTATTTAAGGACTTTCTTCCCTATACAATACGGTTTTTCATTCCATGTAAATTTTTGGCCTCATGCAATTAACATTAATTTTATCTCAGTTTGATCAAGTTAGGCAAATCATGATTGTAATGTATTTCTATTTCCTCAACAATACTCCGCCAGGTTGACTGTGTGAGCCAATGCAATGTCCATCTTATTGAGCTGCCAATTGTCTCAATGTAACATTATGTTGCAGTCTCATGCACCAACAGGATACCCTGTTCTGTTACATTAGTCTCCAACTTAATTTAAGAGAGACAAAGCTACAAACAATATTCTTTATTAGCATTTATATATGTCACATAATTTTCCCTATGATTGCATCATCTGCCAGTCTGTGACAACACCCTATGAAATTATTACCCTTGTATGGGTTGAAAAATTAGACAGACATAAAAAAAATTATACCCTTGGTGTACAAGAGAATCACAATCATGTATGTCTCCAAAAAAAATGCTTATTAAAATTGTGTTGGTACTTGCTTCACTTACAGCAATTAAGTGGAAATTAAAGTGATTTTATTTTGCTATAATTTATAGACCAACCTCACAGTAAGGCATCAAATTGGCTACCTTCTGTATGATAGACTGTGAGACACACAATTACCACAGGCAGGCTGGCATTAACCTTTAACATCCTAAACTCAATGTGATATCCTTAAACCTTTAAATCTTATCAATTTTGCATTTGTCATGTAAGAAAAATGCCCGTCATATGTCTAGTTCAACAAGTTTAAGAAATTGTGTACAGAAGAAAATGTTATGCTAGAAAGAATAACATATGCATAATTCAAATTCAGCATATATTGGGATATTCAATATTTTACAATGAATTTTTAACTGGGATAAAAGTGAACAGGTAAATCAAACTACCTTTTTGTAAATAATAAACAACTGTGAGCTTTGATGTGAAATGTCAATTTATGATAGCAAAGTGGAACAAATGAAGAGCACTGTAGTGCTTTATAGGGACACTTTCTATTTTCAATAACCAATATTTTTTCCTTTGTTCAAATATTGATGAGCTTTTATTACCAGTATGCTTTTAATATGAGAGCAGATTTTTTTCCAACTTTACCAATCAACTTTTGTTAAACACATGAATAAATATTGATTGAGAAAAATCAAATTTTTATTGTATTAAAGAATGTCATTGGCACTGGTAGTATTGACCAGTTAATTGAAAACACCAATCAGATGTTCCATGTTAACTTATTTTATCTCTAAGTTATCAATTAGCTAATATGCTTCACACAAATATTAACTTAATTATTTAGACTTTATTAAAAGATACCATATAAATGATGTCATAATAGTAAGAGTAAAAAGCCATCTCTTGCATTTTCTTTATAGAATAAACTTCTTTGTTCAACTCAAAGAAAACAAGAGATCTTTGTACAAAATGCATGTCCCCCTTGTCAGCATGTCGGAAGCTGCATAATCATAATGTTTCTGCATACAATGTCAAATGAGCCCTCACCCAAAATTCAAAAGGGGTCCTGAGTTGTGTTATTATTCTGAGGACCCATGCTTTCTTTAGTTTTTGATCGGAAACAATGTAGGATGGACTGACAGACCGAGAGATTGACAGACATCATGTTACAAAACATTATGTCTCTCTTCATAGAACAGGAGACATACAAAGAGTAATAAACCTGACTGTTCTTTTTCATATTTTTTATGTTCAATGAAAACCTTAGGGTGATCTCCAAAATCAAGGGCAAAAATCTTATGAGATTATGGAGATACTAACATAACTATATTAAGTAAAGGGAGATAACACCACTCAGCTTAATACCACAGCTAGATAAAGGGAGCTAACACAAGTCAACTTATTTACAGAAAATAAATCCTCCTATAGGAGTTGCATACCTTGTTTATAATAAGAGGTGTTTACCAAAAGCTCATTTCCAATTATATATTTCTAATCTATTACATGGGATAATCTCATTTGTGTTAACCAAACAATACACAATCAATCTGTCAATGATATGAAGACAGATTATAAGGTCATGGAACTTACCTGCGGTCAAATAACCTGTTCATTATAGCATTTATAAAGCATATCTTTTTAGTAAAATATAAGAAATTGATATTTCACACAGATTTAATACATTCTATATAACTTATGTGCAAACGGCAGAAAACAGTACAAGCTTCAAATAATCCATCGAATCAATACATGATGAGGTATCAAATAAATACTAACATCACTCAATACCACTGTTTTATTCTCTCTTTTTTTTGCATGTATTTGATAGCCTAAATCAAATCAATGTTATTCTGAAAAAAAGGAAGAAATTATGCTCACATAAGTTAAGTTTAGATATCTTCTATGATATAAATG